TGCCATGATGTGACTCAGTGTGGGCCTTTCCTTACTCGTTGGGCTGGGCCCTTTGACTTTGCATTTTTCCTTGACATTTTCCTTCCTACTGTTTCTTTATTCTCTTTCTGATAATCATATTGGAAGGATTTGGGGCTTCATGAAATCATCCTCTGATTTTTCTTATCTTTTTTCTCCTGTTTTTTATCTCTCTAACTTTTTATTCTGTTCTTTGATATTTTCTTGACTTAAACTCCTAGTCCTTCTATTGAATTTGTATTTCCATTATCTTACTATAAATTATTATATTTATTATTTTAAATTATTATAAATTTCCAAGAATTTTTTTTATTATTCTTTTTTATCTTCATTTATCATTCTGAGTATGTTAGGTATAGTTTGTTTGTTTAATTTGTTTCTGCTCCCTATACTGTCCATTTCCTCAGAGTTTCTTCTTGTCTGTTAACCACTCTTGGCTGTTCATTTAAAAGGGTGAGGTAAAATAAATATATGCAATATCATCTGTTTGCTGTAAAAGTAATGTGAATGTATAACTTTTTTTTATTCTAATATGTCTATTTTTTGGCTAGTTATGTGTCAGTCACTTGGCCATTAAGTTCACTTGATTCAAAATAACTCCCATATGTCTTCTGCTTTGGGGCTTATGTTGTGCAGCAGCATGTTCTTTCTTGCATCTGTTTCTGCTTCTGTTTGGTGTTCCTTAGCATGTTGGTCTGCAGTTGCTTTTCATCGCTTGAGGCCATCCGTCATTGCATGGATCAAGGTTCACTGAGCTCTTAGGCATTCAGCAGAGGTTCCTTCTGTGCTGGTAGAGAGTCTTTGCTTAGGGAATCTGACTATTTAATGTAAAAGAAAAGTTCCTAATGACCCAGCAATTCCACTCCTGTATATGTACCCCAAAGGATTGAAAACAGTTATTTAGCAAAAACTTATATACACAAATGTTTATAGCAGCACTATTCACAATAGTCAAAAGGTAGAAACAACCCAAATGTCCATTAACTAATGAATGGATAAATAAAATGTGGTATATTGATACAATGGAATATTATGTGGCCATAAAAGGAGTGAAGTGTCAATATATGCTACAAGATGAATGTTACAACATTGAAAACATTAGGCTAAGTGATAGAAGCCAGTCACAAAAGGCCACATATTATATGATCCATCTATAGAAAATGTCCAGAATAGGAAAATATACATGAATATATTAAAAATCATTGAATTGCATACTTTAAATGTGTGAATTACATGGTATGTAAATTACATCTTAGTAGATCTGTTCAAAATAAAATATAAAGAAAGGCTTGTATGGGTCTTGAAAAGACTGTTCTAGAAACCACTGTAAAAACCCTACCTATATTAGGCTCTGCCTCCATCTTCTCACACCCAAGGTCATATGAATGTGTCTGCTCTTGTCATCTCTCCTTATATGTTAAGTGCTTTCTTCACTTTTCTTCAGTAGAGCTTTCATCCCCATCAGATCTGTGTTGTTGTGTTTGTTTGTTTGTTTTTCCATTCTTCTATCTCATTCACATTATTGGCATTTTCACCTTTTATCCCTCTGCTAAAAATCCTGTGGATGACTTTTTTTTTTCTGTTTTACAATCCTAGCTACTCTTTCAGATTTTGTGCTTGATCTATATTCAGTAAATAATATGTGTTATAGCCACATCTTTTAAATTAAAACTTAAATATCTTGATTCATTCACCATTGGCAATTTTACAAACTTGACAGTGAAAGGCTGTTGGCTGAGAGACTTCAGGAGCTCTGAGTGAATACAGGATTGATAAAAGTCCTAGCTTCAGAGCTGTCATCAAGTCTGTAGTGGTTCATTTCCTCTGGGCTTGAAATTCACATGAATTAGCGGAGAGAGCCCAGTGTTACAGGGAACAGGAAGTTAGGGATGGGAGCTCTTGGTTAGATGACATTGAGAAGTAGTGACTTTGTGCACTGAAGAGAAAACTTTTAAAATTATTGGCAAACCTCTTTGTCAGCCTTCCTGTTGACATTACTTATCTCTTTTCCTTTTCTTGGCATAGGCTTGTGTTTATATGATTCTAGATTTTTTCCCTCTTCAAATTATTTTAATCAGAGATTTCTTGCTTTCAATCTTTCTCTCAATATATTTGTCATCAGAGTTCCATTCTTCTTGTCTTAAATATGTGCAGACTAAATGTCTGTCTCTCCCGTTATTTCCTCCTCCCCATTTCCTGTAGAACTCAGATCCTTTGATCATCTGTTACAACTCTCTTGGAAACTCTTTTGACCACTTTAAAATCCACTGGTTCCAGTTAGTTTATTGTATTGTTGGCTGCAAAGCAAAGGAGGGTAACCTTTGTTAATTTTTAACTATCTTCCTGTGGCTTAGCTTTCCCCTTCACCTATAGTAAGAAGACACTCTCAAGTCCCCCCTGTCCTTTCTGCTTAGCCCCTCTGCTTTTCTCATACAGCCCACAGCTGGAAATCACTCCTTGTTTTGTACCTGCCAGATTGTGATAGTCTCTCTGGCCAAAACGTTAAGGAAAATCAGGAAATATTTATTCAAGTCTACCTTTTTATCTTAATTTCTTTTCTAGTATATTGTTTATTTACTTCGTATTTACAGAGCACCCACACTTCTTACTCATGTTACCAGCAAATGTGCAACACAGCATTGAATTAAAGGATCAATAGTTAACAAATTGATGGGTCTCCTAAAATAACCAGAGCTCTTTATTCATCCTAGTAAGATAAATCACTTTGAATTCATAGCCAAGAACAATTTTAAGCATAATGCTGCATACAAGTTCTTAATAAAGTTCTTTATACAGTAAATAAAGTATACTTTTATACTGTAAGTAATTTTAGATATATTAGAGGCAGATTTTCAAATGGTATTTCAAGGCAGATTTTTTAATTTTAGAAATTAAAATAGCTATATAATTTTCATTATAAAAGTAATATATATGGCCGGCCCCATGGCGCACTGCTACAGTGCGCTGCTTGGAAGCGCAGTGGCGCTCCCGCCGAGGGTTCGGATCCCACATACAGACTGGCCGCTCACTGGCTGAGCGAGGTGCGGGCGCAACACCGAGGGTTGCGATCCCATTGCCGGTCCCGGTCCAGTACGGGCGCGACACTGAGGGTTGCAATCCGTTGCTGGTCACGAGAAAAGACAAAAAAAGGAAAAAAAAAAAAAAGTAATATATATGCATACTGTAAAGATTTTTTTTTTTTTTTTTTTTTTTTTTTTTTTTTTTTCC